CAGGACACATCCTCGTCTCACCCCGGCAGACACCGGGAAAAAGGCAGAGATGCCCTCCCCACACTTGACAGTACTCTCAGTATCTGTATACAGGCCAGACAGCAAACTAATAATTCCAGGGGGGATCCCACGGAGACCCAGTAGGCTCCAGAGACTCTCCCGGTGCACTGAGTCGAAAGCCTTCTTGAGATCAACATAAGCTGCAAGCATACCCTGTTGAAACTCAAGTCGGCGTTCCACAAGGACACGAAGTGCTAAGACACGGTCTATAGTTGACTTCTTGGGTGTAAAACAGACTGCTCAGGTCTCTGTGCTCGTAATAGGTGGTCGCGCACTCGTGCCAGAAGCAGATGAGCGAGGACCTTGCCTGGTACGCTGAGCAATGTAATGCCTCTGTAGTTGCCACAGTCCTTTTGGTCCCCTTTCCCTTTCCAGATAGGGATGACCAAGCCCCCTTTCCAGTCAGGGGGAATGGTACCAGTCTCCCAAACAGCAGACAGGACTGCATGCAAACCACAAATCATGGCTTCTCCACCCGCCTTCAACAACTCTGCAGCAATCCCACAGACACCAGCAGCCTTTCCACTCTTCAGCTTAGAGACCGCCCTTCTCACCTCTTCGATGGAAGGTGGTGCCTCACTGATTGGTGGATCAGCCACTAGTAGTTGTGAAGATGGGGGATCTACCCTGTACAGTTGCTCAAAGTACTCAGCCCAGCGGGCCCTATACTCACCCGGCTCTGACACAATGCGACCGTCCTCTGCCCTCACCGAGCCCGATTGAGATATAGACTTTGATCGGAGTTCCCTCAGGGCTCGGAAAGCAGGTTGAAGGTCATTTTGGGCAAAATGACCTTCCAACTCTTCCACGATGCCCCTAACATACCTCTCTTGGTCCACTCTCAAAGAGGCCCTAGCGGAGCGAGACAGCTCCCTGTGCAAGACATGGTTCCCATCCAGTCTGGCAGCACGACTCATATAGTGTTCAGTGTCTCATCTGAAACAACACACCTCCTTCGCCGAGATCGGACACCAAGGCACTCCTCGGCAGCTGACAGAGTTCCTCGCTTAAAGGTATCCCACAGTTCAGCAGGGTCCTGTAGAGTACCAAGCACTTCAAACCGATTTAAGACTGCCACTGCATAATCCTTATATATATATATATATATGTGTGTGTGTGTGTGTGTGTGTGTGTGTGTGTGTGTGTGTGTGTGTGTGTGTGTGTGTGTGTGTGTGTGTGTGTGTGTGTGCGTGCATGTGTGTGCGTGCGTGCGTGTATATATATATATATATATATATATATATATATATATATATATATATATATATATATATATATATATATATATATATATATATATATATATATATATATATATATATATATATATATATATTTATATGTATACATATATATACATATATATGTGTGTGTGTGTGTGAAGCGAAGTGTGGTAAGTTCAACGTTAAGATGCATACTCTGCATGCTCCATACTTATAAGCTGCTCTGCCAGTACATAGCCTCTCTTATACTAAGACTCCTGGTATGTCTCCACGTCGGCAACACACGATGAGTGCCTTGCGGCCTCAGGCTGAATTACCAGGGAACCAAAATCAGGGACAAAATGTTAGCACGCGACAG